AAACTTGAAGGCCATATTGAAGAAATATTATCAATTAAAAGTGTTACATTTAAAGGAGAAAATTATTACATAAGTTCAAGCCAAGATGGAAATTTTATTAAATGGAAGATGGAAGATGATTGGATGTAAGTAGCCATCAATCAATTGATCGAACAATTATTAATTAAATTGATTGATTAAATAATTTATTTAGCACATTGAAAGAAAAAGAATGCATTGACGATGGCGATAACGATATGGCATTTACTGTTTCATTTCTTCCAAATACCGGCAACAAATATTTCTTGGCTACTACAGATGATACAGTTAAATTATACGATTTTGAAACAGGCCAGGTAAAAAATATTATTTTTATTATTTTTATTATTTAGTTTTATTATAAATCTCTTTCTCTTTTTTTTTTGATTTAGCTTTTACAAACTTTTGAAGAATTATATTCGCAATATTGTGATTGTGGGAAATTCATACATCCAGTAGAACCATTGGTGGAAATAGATCACGAGTTGAATGGCCAAGATGATGGTGATGATGGGAATGAGAATGAGGATGAAGAAGATCATAATAGAGTGAGAAGGGCGAATAAACAGAAATCATCATCAAAGCTTATTATTCCTCAACACGCTTATTTTATAACTAGAGGTGTTGAGATGTTAAAAAAATCTGAACATGAAAGAATAGGTATAGTGAAATAATATGTGTTTGTATAATATATATATATATTAATAGTGGTCAATCAAGTAATGTCAAATTTTATATTCTCTCCAAAAAATAAGCAAACCTCAACAGTGTCATCTGGCTTAAATCGTCTAACAACTCTTTCACCATTAGCAAGTCTAAAACTTAATCTTGCTACATTTTTATCAGATTCGGGTGGCTCATCCGGCAAAGCTGATAATGCCCAACGTCTCCATTTCAATTTTTTATAATTAATTTCTCTCTATATAACGACCATCTTAATAAACTCTCTCTATAACGACCAAAAGCAGAGGAATTACATATAGGGACAGAGGATTCGTTATAGAGAGAGTGAACTGTAATATTCATTGCGTGCCACAAAATCCGGTTTGATCTTTTAAATCTTTTTGGCTCAAAATATTTCATACAATCATATCCAAGAATTTGGAGATATAATATAAATATAAAATATATAATTAGTATGTACTATAAATATACAGATAATTATTGATGTAATTTTTATCTATGAATAGAGGAGGGGCTTAGGTAGTCTGATATATTTTATAGATTTCAAGACCTATTTAAAAGAACACCTTTAACCAGAGCGTACCGGTCGAATCGAATATTCGGATTCGGATTGGGTTCGAACCAGATTAGAATTAGTAATTTTGGGATAGAATAATTCGAATCGTTCAAACCATTTGAATATCCTACACGAACCACTAAGATTATTCGAATATTTGGTTTTTAAGAAAAGATTTCTGTGAATTTAAAATTTAAAAAAATGTTATTCATTGAATAAATACAAAATTCTGACTAATAACTTGACCAGCTGTATCTAAACATAGCACTATGTATGAAATAAAGAAAGTTCCCTTTCTAATTTTGGTAAGAGGGCCTTTGCTACTATGCTCACGAGGAATTTGTTCGCTATGATCATTTCTAAATTTAGCAGTAACAAATAACTTTTAAAACTAAAATCACGCGAAGTCCTATTTTTTGAAAATTTTAAATTGTTATTGGCATATGGCGCAGCAATAGGAGGTCTTTAGACCGAATCAACCATATGATACCTTTCCAGTTAAGGTTACCGGCTGCAACTTTTGATGATGGTTGCTACCATCTTTACGTCATATAAAAATGATTGCAACCGTCTTTACGACCATTTTGTTTCTTTTTTTGGATTGCGGCATGGAACACTATTTCCAGTATGTTACAAATTCCATACTAGTTCCGTGCTTCATACGCGGAATTAAAGCTTGCCTTTTCTATTTCAGTAGGTTACAAATTCCGTACTGATTCCTACTTCATACTAAATTTAAAAAGGGGTAATTTTTCAAAACCGTATAAAAAATACGTTAATTCCACATATATATTTTTAACAACGTATTTAACACATGTTAATTTCGTATTTTATTTTTCATAGGGTAGATTTAATAAGCTATTTCTAATATAAGATGTGAAGGAACCTTCATAAAGTGTGGAGTTTCCACTAAGGCTCCACAGGTGAAGTCCTAGGCACAAGTTAGAGGCCAAGTGAGAGGCTTTAACAGTCTCTTGACAACTATACAATTTCAATAAACCCCAAGTCAAAAGAACCTCCCCTGAATTTTTCATTGCATCATCATATCTCGAGGCATTCTATGATCATGTTAGCCTTTGCCTGTAGAAGAAATAGGCAAATAATTAATTAAATAATAAAAGAATAGTAATCAACTGATCAATCGATTTATTTTATTAAGATCCGTATAAACATAAAGACAGAAGATAATAAAAACGTTAAAGGTAGAACTTACATATGAACCGGTTCGAACCGATTCAAAAAATATTTTTGATTCGAATCGAACCAACAACGATCCAAACGAATCCAATTATATGGAAGGTCTGGATAAAATAATAATTGTCATTATAAAAACCATCATTGTTATATTAATAATAATACGGAATTCGTATTTTTTTTCGCGTGCGTATTTTTTGTACTGTTTATAACGTATGTATTCAGTATCTTTTCTACTTGTTTTTTTTTATAGAGCTACAACTAAAATTCATTATGTTAGATTATTATACAATTCGCTTTCTATATAATGGACCATTTGGCTTAGGAACCGCAATAATTTAAATGTGGTAAATTCTCGATTCGAATTCAGGAAAACAGGATTCAATTAGATTCGAAATCAAAAACAGAATTTGATATTTGATTTGGTTCAAATCAAATTGGATTCCTGAATTTCTTTTAACAGGGTTCTATTCGAATAAGGTTTATTTGAATGACTTGTTTTATTTATTATGAATTTGATATTCGAAATACATTGAATGTTTATTTGAATAAAAGGAATAAAAAGGAATAAAACGAAACGAACGGATAAAATGAATAAAACGAATAATTCGAGTGTTACTATTACTATTATGAAAATCTAAACTACATCAGATTGATTTTATCCCAATCTGGGGCTAATAATATATTCACTTTATCCGATACTCGTCAAGGTAAATAAAAAATAGATAATTATATTTTATGAAATATAGGTGAATGCTTATATGAATGTTCAGATTTAATTTGACGGTTACGATGGGAAACATTGCAGTTCCGGTATATATTTTAATAACTCCTCTTATTGTTGTTATTGTCATTATCATTATTAGCTTGCTACTACAAATCTAGATAACCCGCAATTAGAAACCTATAATACATAACTGGTAGCAAAAATACAAGAGCGCTCGCTCTCACGCATTTTCTTCGTCTTGTGGCTTGGAGTCTTGATCAAAGTACAATACGAGATGATGTTTAGGAAACAGCATATCTTTGAAAAAGATCGATAGAACGCTTGGAAGGCATCGCTCAACTGCAAAAATTCTAAAATATGGCCTTGAATAAAGATGTTAATGCTTCTACTTCATTACAACTTACATGAAAAACAGGCGACCAAATAGTTTCACACAATCCACCATTGGTTAACTTAACTCCAAAGTTGATCATCATAATTATTTAGAAGCAAAAGAACATCAAATACAATCTATATGGTTAATGGTATTAGATAATGTATATATTCGGTGGTGGTGAAAAGTAGCAGATATAAAATGTAGTTCATGTTATTGTTGAAAATAGCTTAACTTTTATTTTCTATAATAAAAAATTTTAATATGAATGTGGGCAATGGCTAAAAAAAAACCAATTTTTTTATCGCAAATACAATTTTTTTAATTCCATTTCCGCATAAAGATTAGAACAATAAAAAGATATAAAAATGTGCAATTGTTATTCTATTATTCAAACATCATCATAATAATCTCTAATAATGTTAGGTAAAATATCCATTATTTTTTGTAATTCTGATTGTTCAAGTTCATCATCATCATCGTCATCGTCATCGTCACCGTCATCACCGTCATCATCATCACCCTCATCATCCTCACTGACAGTCTTATCATCATCGTCATCAATTTCCATTTTTTGAGAATTGTCATAATTATCGTCATCATTTTCCACGTTCAAATTATTTGATTCACTTATATTTAAAAAATTATTTATGTTGAAGAAATTAATTAAATCATTTCTGTTCTTATAAGTGTATATTTTTATACATCCATCTATTATTAAAATAATGATTGATGTTATTAATAATAATAGTGCTAATAATCAATAATAAGAATGTTATTTATTTATTTATATACTAATTTACCATCTCCGCATGTAAATAATAAAGGTTTCCAAGGATGAAATATGACATCTCTAACTTCATACTCTTTTCTCATATACATTATATTATAATAAATAATAAATTTATTATTTATTTTAAAAAAAAACCAAGTTGAAAAACTTTATAAAAAAAAACTATACTTTCCATACTTTCATGATCGTTAAGTATTGCAACGATATTTCCAGTTCTTAAATTGAATATACAA